TTATTCCCAAATAAATATTTCTTCAACTTGCATTTGCTAACTTTATTATTGCCTTTTCTGTCCGACTAGTCGGGTGATACTAAAACAGTTAGACCCTTCGCCCTCAAGAGCCACGGGTCTAGTTGTTAATTAACATGTCGGTTTCAAACAGTTCCTAGTTCTTACTGAATGTCATTCAACTGTTACCACCGTCCTTCAACAGCTTTGAAAAGCATTTACAGACCCATAGTCCCTCACAGAGAAGGAACTGCAATTCTGCTTAATTTGTTGAGATTACATATCATTTGAAAGTCTCTCTGGTCTTTCCACAAACATTGTAACACGGTTGGTCGTCAGTGTGGACCCAACTTGCTTAATGTAAGTGAGTCAACCATCCGAGGGCCTCTTCATGTAAGCCCAGTCAACTGGGCTAGCTCGCTTCAAAGATCTCGCCATTCTTTTCTTCGTATAAATTTTGATGTGTTCATACGAGAAGCCGGGCTGACCCGGCTATCAAAAGTTTTACAAAGAAAAGAGCTGNTCAACTGGGCTAGCTCGCTTCAAAGATCTCGCCATTCTTTTCTTCGTATAAATTTTGATGTGTTCATACGAGAAGCCGGGCTGACCCGGCTATCAAAAGTTTTACAAAGAAAAGAGCTGAAAAGCAAGATCTCGGAAACCGAGCCTACCACCTCTGTTGACCAAGCTCATATGAAGAGGCCCCGAGACAACCGGGGAGGTTAAAAGCGCCCAAGCCCCACCTCCTGTACGGTCCCTGGGGAGGGTAGAACAAATTATCGCTTTCTTACATACCCTCCTCTTCTCTGTGGTGCTAGTGTCTCGCGCACTCCATATTCCCACGAAAGGCTCGCTTTACCGTGACAACCCAAGGCAAAAGAAACTGATTTAATAAATACCCCCTTCAAATACAATCTTTCACAATATATCTCGGTTATTATTCACTTTGCTGTAATATTGAGAAGTCTTAACATAAGCAGTCTTTGGTATTCAGAATAAAAGTTTAGAAAACGTATACATACAAAAATATCAGTTGAAAATAACGGATAAAGCGCGTCTCCAAAAAATGTAACAATGCAACGTGTAAGTGACAGAGTTTTTTTCTACACTTACAAAAATCTGGTCCAAAAAAAAAAGTTGATTTTCATTGTATGCTCAACGGAGAGGCCTAATATTTACAATGTACCAAAGTTACCTTGTCAATACAACATTTCAGTAAATATTTAGCTCCGTACTATCAAATTATACCTTATTTGCGCCCTAACAAATGATTAATACATGAAGTTGAGGGACTCAATGGGGTGAGGGGTGTAGTGGAATCATGGGACACAAACAAGGTCACGTGACAGAGCACATGTAACAAAGTCGAGATCGAGCAAGACAACCGAGATCTTCTTCATGCGTTTCACGAGTATCGAGTATTGTCCGAACTTTCTGTTTATCGTTCAGAATATAAGTTGCGTTTCTACATTTTGTCTACATGTCAGATAATTCCCCCAACAACGTCT